ACCACGCGCCTCTCGTTCAACGAACAGGGACGCATAACGTACCATCGCGATCTGTGGGATCTCCGCGACGTTATTTCGCTCGTGCCCGGTGCATCCCTAGCTCAGTGGGCGACGACACGTCTCACCGCGCGTGCGTTGTCGTATTTTACCCGTCTCATTAACAGTTCTGGAAGGCAAGAAGGTGCTTCAATTGATCTGGAGAGGGTCATAGAGCCGCCCTTGTTTTTTATCGATAAGAACTAGTGCTTGTTTAATCCTACACTTTCTCGAGATGTTGTAAGAATAGTAATATGGGCCGCATGTATGTATGTATGGCAGGTTGTAATGACGAGTGTAAAGGGACCAGTTTGGGGCAAGTTCTGTCTCTTTGTCAGCTGGCTCATGTCACGGCGGTAACGGAGACCGTTCAATTGCCGATATTTCTTCTCCGACGTCTATGAAGCAAGTACATATCATTCCTCGTTAGTATCCAAATACATCGTAGAATCCTCATTAGATCTATGTATATCCAAGAAGAAGCCAACGTCGAGGTTTGGTTCAAGGCCACGCCTTCAACCTTGACTATTTTTTTTTGTGGTGGTCTATGAAACCTGTAGCCTGAAAACGTCCGCTACAAGCCCGACTCCCAACCCCTGCAATGATTTTAGATGTCGGTATCAAGAAGTAGCCAGAGCTCTGCAGATATATCCAAGAAAGGCACTTGACTAGTCCACTTCGGAGTTGCCGCCCTCGCTCAACTCAAAAGTCGCGGTCGTCCATCCGTAGCAGCGATTCAACCGTGCACCGACCCTGCATTCGCACGAAACAGAAAACGCGTGGACACTCCATTCACTTGGGAAAAAAAATGTAGAACGCACCATTTGATCATGTGAGGGTCGAGGATGGAATCGGGGTGGGGCTAGTCACGCAAAAATAAAAGCAGCAGCCATAGTCAGTTTCAAGTGACAACCCCAATAAAGGAATGAGAACAACTGGTGCAAGAAAGAAGATTGGAGTTCAACAGTCAGTCTGAAATAAAAACTTACCCTGTGGAACGAGATTGGACGAGCAGTCTTTGCCGGCGGATCGAATCGCACCGACGACCCCGTCGTCTGCACGACGTCGAATCCAACACGACGCATCGCCTACAAGAAAGAAATATCAATAACGTCCAAAAAATTCAACGCGTTCAGAACTAGAATCGAGAATGAAAGCAGAGGGGGAAGTACTAACGTACCTTCTCGAAATCACCCCACCGCACCTGACCCTTCTTCTGATCAACACTCTCGTCGTTCTCATCCCTCACAAGAATGCGGTGGAAGACCTGCGTTGCGAAGAGAGAGCGGGAGGGATTAACAACCACATGAAAAACAGAAATAGTCACTGGGAGGCTGGGTGGCAGCACATACCTTGATAACCTTTTTCGGGAGCTTGAATGCACATGGCATCGCATCAGGCATATCGTCCAATGTTAAATCATCAGTCGCGTCTGCCGCAGACGGTGCAGGCTTAGGGGCAGGTCCAGCCTTGCCCTTCGTCTTCTTCTTCGTCTTTACCTGACTCTCAGCCGCCACAGTAATAACATACGCATGAACCGACATCGCCTCCGACGCCTGCGTCTCAAACATCGGGGAGGACTCGTCCTCCCTCGTCGGCGCCGCAGGCGCCGCCGTCGTCCTGCCCCGTTTCTCCCTCTCCATGTGTTCCTCCTCTTCCTTTTGGAAGACCTCCTTCATGACCTTGCGCCCCCAGAACGAGTGGAGCGGCCGCAAAGGATCGCGCGGGTCACGGAGACCGAAGTCACGAGCGACACCCGCAGGCGGAGCGACACCAGGACGGTCAAACAGCGCCGCGTTGCGCCACATCGTTTCATCGTTGTACATCCAATAGCGGTCCCACTCGAGCAGGATGGCGACGTCGTCCGCCGACGCCGCGAGGTCGGGGCCGTGCGCAGCCTTGGCCATCGTGACGGCGCCGTCAAAGGAGAGGGCCTCGAGCGAGAACGAGTTGAGGACATAGTTGAGGATCTTCGAGCCTTCGCCGAACGGGAAGTGATTCCCCGGGTTGAGCTTTGTGTTGAGCTTGCGCGGGTCTGCAGCACAGATGTATTTGAGCATCCCTGCGGGCCGGCCGCCGGCTTGCTCTGCCTTGGCGAGTGCGTATCGCCGTAGTTTGTCCCCGAAGGGAGAATTGGTCATATTGGCGCAGAATTCCTGGGCTAAACGGATGTATTGCAGGTAAGTTTATAAGTAACTGTGAGTGAATGTGTAGAAGAGGCACTGAAAGCTCCTACGCACCGACAGCAAATTCACCAATTGCATCAAACGACTCGGCATCGAACTTGCGTGCGTTTTCACTATTCTAGACAGTTGGATTCAGCAAATGAGAAAATGAGAAAAACATAATTTACCATATGCTGACTGAGCTGGTCGAAGAACGGCTCCGGGTTGCTGTCTGTGGATAAGAACTGGACAACAAAACAGTCAAAGCCGACTGTGAGAGGTGGGCCGTCGGGCGCCTTGTCGATATGTGCCATACCATCAGATGACTTGGAGAGAAAGAAATGCTTAAATTAGCTTATTTTCGTTCTCCTTCCAAGCACAGTGTTGTCGTCGCGACATCATAGCTTTCGCTCATCTATTTGACCACTTCTCCCCGTCTTTTTGTTTTCATGAGATGAACCAAACTCACCCTCCATCGCTTGAAATACGGCCTGAAATACGGCGTGTAGGACACCGTCTGGATGACAGCCGCCCAGAGACCGGAGAACATCTCGCGTGCGCGTGCCCCGCAGCAGAAAAGGCGCCACACCAGGTCTTCGTCCTGTAGATATGCGCGCTCAATCGCCGCGGCGGTGCACAGACCTCTGCGCGCAAGGTCCTCGAAGAGCTCCGTCGCGAAGAGCCAGCAACTGTGTGAGGACTGCCGTCGGTTGACGTGCGCGTAATGGCAGTTTCAACAAATACGGATGACGGGCACGTCAGCCTGATGAATGAAAGGTGAAGAAAGAAAGTAGGACACACATGGTAGACTTTCAGCTTCGCACGTAGCGCGTGGCTGTGCCGAACTGCATCTCGCTGAACGGGGTTGAGCTGGTCGTCCTAGAGGCATAAACAAAAATGTCGTTAACATTGGCGCCAAGGCAAAAGGAGCAAATGAGGTGGGGGATCAAAATATAAGGAGTACATGCCTCGCGTTGCGACGTGATGATGCTCTTTGCGCGCGCCGCGAGGGTGTGCGTGAACCCAAGGTAGTCGAAGCGCCAGGCATCAGCAGTGTCGCGTACGCGGTCCTGCACGAAGCACGAGGAATATCAGTTTTATTTCCCTTTGTTCTTCCACTTTATTGTGAAAGGAAACCGTCTCACCAATTCTGAAATCGCGATCGCGCGCGCTGTCAACCAATTGAAGTCGGGGGCCTTGCAGCCCTCCAGCAACGCGGCGTGGCGCCTCTGCAGTCACCGCGAATGCCACGAGAGTCCATTGTTTCACGGCCAAGAGGGGGCGCATATACGTAAGAAGTGCATTGGGGACACGCCAATTCGTCATGAAGAAACATGTCACACCCTGCTCAAGAAGCGCACACTGAAAACAATACTAACCGCCAGCCATTCTGACGTAGGCTCCCCGCGGCGGCGGCGCGGTGCAGGCTTGACGCGCGGTGGCGTGCACGCCTCTGTCTCGCTCGCGTACTCATGCATATGCTGAAGTCCGGTGTCAGACATACCGAGCTCCCTCTGCAAGGTTGTATGCGAGTCAATGTCATGTTATAGTCGTCCATACGAATAAGAGAGAAGCCAAAAGCAGCGAAATGGGGCGGGACATACATACATAACGCGATGGCACAGCAAAGAGTTATTTAACAATGCGAGATAAACACACGTACCGCTACGCGATTGAAGTTCCTTGCGTTCGAGACACCCTTGCCGGGGCACTTGCCGATGATCGGTGGGCTCGGGCCCTTTTTGAAGCAGTCATCTATTGCCCTGCGGGCCACGAGCGGCGGTTTAGTGAATTTGAGCCTGTGGTGGTCGTTAGACATAGCGCCTACCCAGTGACAAGTGTGACGAGACGGAAAGAGGAGGTGGGGAAGAGGAGAGACAGAAGGGTGACGGAAAGAGAGAAGATGCAGAGAGGGGAAGAATGGCATGATGTGTGTGCAAGAGAATTGGAAAAGTGAAGAGAGCACGAGAAAACAATGAGGTAAAGAAATGAGAAGGTCTACAAGACCACTGCGAGTGGACATACACGTATATGTGTATGTGTGTAATGGAAATCGGTACGCACCACTCCTCGAAGCTGTGTCTACCCTTGCCGCGGCAGTGTGCAACGGACATCGCGAGCCACTGCGCCGTCCACGGACTCGTTTCCCAGCGGCGGGCGCGCGCAACGTGCAGCTCCTTGGACATCCCTGGTTCGTTCGACTCCTTGGGTTTATCTACAGACTCCACCTGGTTGACCACCGGCGCACCAGCGTCGTTTCCATTGACAACTTTCGAGGTGGTTGATTTGCGCTTAGAAGGCATGCTGGGATTGCGAGCCCAAAGTCAATATTGAATGAGAATCTGTGAACAGCCCGTATCGACGACTGCTGCAGGAACAAATTGAGATTGGGGGAAATGTGTAAGTTGGATTAAAAGTGTCGCGAGGCGCCGGCGTGCGGTAGGTTTAGGTGATTGTGTGTCCCATGGATCCCATCATCGATCGCGTCGATGCACGCATGACTCACCCTCACTATGTATTGCACAATCCATGCTTGGTAAGTAAAGTAATAGTTTCCTCGTTTGCATAAATGAGAGGCGGCGGTCTACTTATTTCACTGTGGTTTAACGTTTATGACGTGACAAATCTCGTGGTGCGGCAGATGCACAGATCATACAGGCAATGCGGGTGAATGTAGCGAGATACGAGCCACCAAAATGCGTCGCTGCGAGCAATCGTCATGCAGCGGATACGAGTCTCAAGGAAAGATAAAATTCCAGTAGAGCAGCGACTCAAAAATCCAGAATTCACAACTGAGGACGAGCCCCGCAGGACTCGAACCTGCAGCCTTTCGGTATTCTCCCGTCGTTACGACGGAGTGGCGATCGAAGCCGAATGCGCTAACCATTGCGCCAGGGACCCTCACTACTTTGGGAATGTATCAACATACCTATGAATGTGAACGGACGGAGCTCTACAGCACAAACCAATGTCTTCGAGATATACATTTTAAAAAAAAGAAGCAAACAGCTTGTAATTAAAGATATCCAGCGTCGCGGCGACGTCGGGTCAGCAGCGCCAGCCGAATCGGATTCTGGGATTTCGGGACGGATGCGGAGCGAGGCGATGTAAATTTTAAATTACAATGTAAATAAAAATAGAGCTGCCCCCGCACTTGTCGTTGTCAGCGCTTGCCTTGCTCAGGTCACGACTGTGTGTATCGACGCCGACATCTGTCGGTAGTAGCACTGCCCGACGACAACGAGTGATTTGACTGGTCTAATTTCAGGTGGATGCCTATCATTGCCTTTTCTGTGGTGTTTTGAACTTACATACATATCATTCTTAGAAAGCAGCATTTCGCGAGCATTGCGAGCTCTTTCAAACCAATCAGAAACCCTAGCAAAGGGTAAATAAAGTTGGAGAGAAAACAAAACAATTGAATTGGAGAAGGAAACTGCAACCCGAATCAGCCGTCGACGCAGGTCCATGTCGTTGATCACTGCCTTCTGTCCGTTCAGCCCCGCACGCTCTTCTCTGCTCTTTTGCTGACTACCTTCTTTGACTTTTGCCGAACACAACAACGACTGCAAATCTTTGCGGACGACTGTGCGCCCAACAATTCTCACAAAATCTCTACATTCAACGCACACCACCGACTGACATCATCCACTCCTGGACTGAACGCTATCCATCGCACGATTGGCTTTCGTTCAAACACCGGCACTTGCATTCACACCGCCACCGTCCCCCAACGTCAAACGACGCTCTCGCACGTACAGACGACGTCGGCAACAGCAGTGCAAGCCCGTGGCAGCGTCCCACGTTGTATCCCGAAGAGCCACCGCTGAGATCAAATACTCGCTCCAATAGCCGCTCCGCATCTTCCTCACACATCGATTCCCCGTACAACTCCCCTTCATCCTACAGCAACATGTCCAACAACTGGCCGAGACTCTATGAGCCTCCCAACGTATCTAGGGCGCAGACGAACACAGCGCGTATGGATAACGGCAACAAGACGCAAGGCACCGGCGACACAAGCGACCGTGTGCTGTTTGGACCGTCCCTAGGGCTCGTCGACAGTGGTCCGGCGTGGACCGTTTTCACCGAGAAGCGCGTCGTAGATGACGAGCTGACGAGCGATATTGTAAATGGATGGATCGCCAAGGCGAAGGCTTACGTCTCCGCCCAGGCAGGCGAGACGCAGACGCAGACGCAAGACACAGAAGGTCAAGCACAGGCGGCGGGCGAGCAAGGCCAGCAAGCGACGGCGGAACAGCAAAGCGTTCAGCAAGTGCAACCAACGACCACCCTGCAGGCTCTTGTCAATCTAAAGCGTCCCTCGCTCCGTTTGTCACCTTTGGTGCACGAGAAGGAGGAAGGAGAGACCGATGACAAGACTCATGCAGAGGAAGGAAAACGGAAGGAAGACCACCAGCAAGCCCAACACGGCCTGTCCTTCACCTTCGACTGCGATGCACCCCAGTGTGCCGTCAGCGTGCACGCCGTCCTGCCGTGTACCCACCCAGACTCGCCCCTGTACTCTGCCGCCGCAAACATCGACAGCAGCAACAATGCGCCATTGAGCCGGTTACTGGTTTTCGAGCTCACAACCCCCGGCGGGTTTGGGCGGCAGCTCGACCTCGAGGATGGCGCCGTCATCGATTTAGCGCGCCTGTCGTGGAATAACCGTCATGCCCCGGCAGCACGTGATACTGAACAACAGGGAGCAACGTCTGGTGCCGGTACGCCCTCGCCGCCTCCCGCGAATGCTTCTGCTACTCCGGAGTCTTCGAGTGCAGCTGGTGGCAATGCTCCGATCTCTACAGCCGCCGCCAATGCCAATTCCGACACTGATGTGAGCGCCAGCCTGAACCCAGACACCAACTCCACCAATGATGCCCGCTCGGCGACTGGAGAAGAGGGCACGCGCCGCCGCACAGCGTTCCACTTTCGGCGTTCGTTGTTCCATCCACATGTGCACCGTCGCGCACGCGCCGTCGCAGGGCCTGCGCTTGTCGTTGTCGATGGCGCGACGGACGGCGACGGGCCAGCAGCCCTCGGTTCCAACGGTCAGGAAACGCCGGACACCGACTCGCAGGGCCACCCTGATGAGGTGCGCCTTGTCATCCGCCTCAGTGCGCTGGACGAACGTGGCGCGTCCCTCGCGAACGACCAGTTGACGTATCTGTCGGTTGGGAGGTTCGGACCGAGGCCGACACCAGTCACAGCGGGCACGACGGCGGCGGCATCAGCAGGGGAAGGAGAGCAACAGCAGCAGCATCAGGGAGAGGAAGACATCCGTTCGTGGGTTGTGAAGGTTGTGAAACGTGAAGCGACGATTGGACAGCATACGTTCCAGCTTCATGAGATATATGGTCTTGCGGCCAGTGCCGGTAATGCACTCCCGCCGACGCAAACGAATCATACGTACCCGCCGAATTCAGGTGCGTTTTCATTGCGGATCTTCTTGTCTCTTGATCTAGCTGCCTGCTCACCTTCTCCTTGACTCCTTGCGTTTCTTCGTTTGATTGTTCTGATATCTATCCTTTTTGCAATGCAGCCGAACCCACTGCAGTATCTGACGCACTTGCGAATTCTCCTGACGAGGAGTGTTTGCTGTGTCTCTCTGCGCCTCGCGAGGTAAGTAACCCCGCTGCATCGTTTGTGTCACGTGATGATCATGGCGTCTTCGTGATATATTCTAGGTTGTTCTCCTTCCCTGTCGCCATCTCGTCGCCTGTCGTGACTGCGCCGTCAATATGATTGAATTTGGCGCCGGTGGGTCTGTGAATACCGGGGAGGATACAGGTGTGACGACTGGCGGTGCTGCCGCAGGAGGGAATGGTGACGACGCACAAGGTAGACCCTTTTTGGTAGTTCTCTGATGAGCGAACGCAGGTTGATGTTCCGACTTTTCTCTTAGGTGCTGATGCTGTAATTGTTCCTGTGGTACCAATCGTTCCCGTCGTCCCCACGCCGATCACGGAGCGCCGCCGCAAGCGCAAAGCCAAGGGTTGGTTCTGTCCAGTGTGCAGACAACGTGAGTATTATTTCTTCGACTCGATTTTCTCTCTACTTCTTCTGTACGGTCTACCCATTACTTACTTCTTCATTCATCATTCAGCGTACCGCAGTCTCCTGCGCATTAGCACTGAACCGCCGCCACCTCTTCAGCCTGCTGGGGGAGAGGCTTCGACAAGCGGCACTGGTAGCGGTGTCGCGTCAAGTAGTAGTTCGGGTGTAGGCGACGCGATGCCGCCGCCGCTGTCGCGTTCGAGCACAGGCACCGGGTCTCTGTTCGCCGGTGTCTTCCGCTCGCTCACGCGCAGCGGGTCACAGCAGCAGTCCCGGGGTTCAACGGACCCGCTCAATCAAGTTGAGATGGGGATGACGACGCGTTCGCCTCAGTCGGTTGCCGCGTGAGTGAGTGAGTTTGTAGCGTTTGGAGGTAAGAGTGTCTGGCTACCCGCTCTCATTCCCTCTTCTCCTCTATTTCTTCCTCACCCGAGCGCCAGGCAGTGCTTCGTGGCAGCCATTAATACTTCACTTGTCTGTTTGTTGATCGACGCTTCTGAAAATATGTACCTTGACACACTTGATATTGTCCCTCGCCCCGAGTGACTGAACTATCTGCTGAACGTTTTTCTTGCTTTTCATCTCCCTCCCTCGCCTCTTAGGTATTTTTACCCCCGGTTGAACATATGCTTCCCCGTTTGTGCCTGTGTACTCTCTTTTTCTCCTTCTCCTCCATCCCCGTGTACTAGTTAGTTCTTTATACTTTACTGCAGGATGTATGTAATAATTGCTGAGGCGGACAAAGGACTGCAGCAGCAATTCTCTTGTGCATGCATTGTATATATGTACTATTATCCTATTCTTTTTTTTCTATGTCTTCTTTGTGTTTTTCTTTTTTTCCTGCTGGAAAAAGAACCTTGCAGCGACAGATCTATTGAGGAGCCGCTGCAAGACAAGAGCCTCGCGTCGCGGATGGTCAGGCCTAGGACTTTACGGTATGGGGTGTGCGGCTCTACTGCACAGATGGCTGAGGTACGTTCTTTGCTGTTTATTTTTCATTGATGTATCTTAGTTGCCTTTATCTGTGCTTTTAGATAAGTACGTCGTCATTTTCAACTGAAACCTGCATTTTCTGCGACGTTCATTGTTTATTCAATTTCTCGTGTCCTTTTGTCATTTCGCTCGTCGTCCTCCACCCGCAAAAAAAAACATGCATTTCTTGCATGCATCAGTCCTGCGCATGCGCCTCCCTGCTCAGCTCCTGATCGGGGTCAAAAATAGACGCCCATCACGGAGATGTCGGCTCCACCTGACGCAGCACCACTCATTAACAAGGCGCCGGCGCTCGTCCTCGATGATCAGTAGAACAAGACTGGATCCAGTTGAGGGCTAACATATTGCGCCTCCCCTGCACAACCTGGTCCATGCCAATTGGCGACTCCGCTCGATGAAACCTGTTTACGCTTCTGATGAACAATCCCTTTGATTGTCGTGCCTTCGATCGACTTCACGACTGAATTGTTGGTGCACCATGCTTACACAGGTGAGGTTAGGGACCCGGTGCTTTCAGACTCCGGGCGCTACGGTCCACGGACTCTCGCTTGATGTTGTTGTTGGTAAGTCGGAGACATCGAAACGGTTCGTCCAGCAGCACGTTGTGATTGTCGGACGCGGTCAGAACGTCGTAAACGTGATCTCCAGATAGCTCTCTTATTTGCTGCAGCTAATTCCAATTCGATCGTCGCTGTCCTCAGCTCTTGTGAGAGCGTACTTATCGTCGGACATTGTAAGTATCGTGCATTTCAAGCGATGTTTAAATGCCCCCCCTTTCCCCACCTTTTCTTCATAGCGCCTATTCCTTTGTTTTCCTTCTCTGTCAGGACGGCTACGTGAAGGATATC